TGTGAATTCCAAATTCCCATGAAACTCCAATATTGGAGCCGGCTCAACCCACCTGAATGCCGTTACAGGTTACAGGTAGGAAGTAAGTCAGGACAACGAGGACCAGGCGACAAGAGTTAGTACGAAGGTAAAGTGGCATAAATGCGAAACAACATGATTTAATTTTAACAGCGTGCACGGAATTAAAATATGCCAATTCAAATCTGAAACCATGGCCATTAACAATAACAATCTGAACTATTGTGTTTTCAGTTAGATTCGTTTGTTTTCCCTCATTTTAATCCTATAATTCGACGGTTTTAATAAATCAGTCAATAATATAAGACGATAACGAAAGGAAAAAGAGACACACAAGAAACAATAAAACACTATATTAAAATATTTTTGTTGTTAAATCTATCTATCTATCTCTTTAAATATATGTATATATTTTTAAGCATTTCACCCCACGCTAGACGGGAGTGCGACTAGTACGAAAGGGGTTACAGCTAGAGTAAGAAGAGAGGTGTTTGAAGAAAGGATATAGAGAAGGAAGGGAATCAAAATCAGGGCATCAGAAGATGTCGATTGACATTACATTTGGATATTTGAATATTAGAGCTATCTGGGAAGTAAGTAAGAGGAAGGGAGTTCCGCTGTGTGGAAGAGCGAGAGAAGAAGATGTTGGAGTAGAAGAGGCGGTTACATTTAACAGTTTCTACAGTGAAAGGGTAGAGCCCAGAGGCCAACCTAGTAGCACACTTAAATTCATGCAGTTGGGTTACCAGTCAAAGTTGCTCGTCAGAGCATTTGCCATGTATATAGTAAAAGTCAGATGAAAGCTACATCACGTCTGTAACAAAGTGACTGTAGTTTAGATGCTTACACACACACACACACACACACATATATATATATATATATATATATATATATATGAATAACACCAAATCCGTAGTTGGTAGGGAATATGCCAATGAAGTCTTTTTAAATTGTTAACTCCATGATGATAGCTCAATGTATGTTATGATGCTGATTTGGGGTTAGTAGAGACAAACGCCAAATAACACGTAACAATAAAAAGGATTTTAATAGGTTGGTAAAAAGGTACAGAAATCGCCTGAGTAGTCACTAACTAGCTCAGCTAAGAACTTCTCTATCTGTCTCTTGACATGCCACTATTTAAAGTCTTTGTTCGCAGACAAGTTCATCTTCAAGAGGGGTGGTAGGTTTCCGACACAACAATGTATCAATTTATAAAACAGACAATATAAATAAGGAAAAGACTTTATTAATGATCATATAATCGGTTATAAATCTATTTTAAAAGCTGTATATACATATCTATCTATCTATCGGATAGAAACCTCAACAGAATGCAGAAAGCACTTTCGTCCTATAATTGGGACTCATCAGCAGTGCGCATCCACTACAGAGTATCGAACCCTGACAGTTAGGTTGTCAAGTGAACATCATACCAACTGTTCCAAATGGGCCTCGGTGACGAAGAGATTCCAAATCAGACTCAACTTGGCCCCGCTCGCTCACATATTCCGTGGCGGAACTCTACTGAGTTCTTTATAACCATAGGACTGTGCCCCTTGGAGCCACGACTACTCTCCCCAATATATATATATATATATATATATATATATATATATATATATATATATATATATATATATATATATATATATATATATATATATATATATGTATATATATATAAACTATTTTTATTCAACGATATAAACTTAAGTTGTCTGGCTGAATTTATATCATTTAATAAAATGTAGTCTGATGAGGCAGTTCAAGTATATATATATATATATATATATATATATATATATATATATATATAAGATAAGAAATAAAAGGAAATCAGGTAGAGTCTATGAAGGAGTGATGCTAGAGATGTGAAATCATGCACGCATTAATTCCGACTCTATTTATTAATAACTGCATTGTTTCATTCCAGGTACGAGGGTGGGATAAAAAAATATGATTATTATGAAGGAAATTATGCTGGAGGAGTGATAACTTGTACGCATTAATTTCGAGTCTTTTTATTAATAAATGCATTGTTTTTTTCCAGATAAACTGGTTGTTCATCCTATTGGTAAAAAATGTCATCAACTGCAGATATGATGTCATAATAACAGTGATACGATTTCCTTGCTAAGTCTTTTTAACATTGGGGGACAGGTAATAGTCAAATAATGAGAATAGAGAGGGTGATCAACAAGTTCAAAAGCGTACACATGCACAGTAGCCATTATGCCGGTGCATTGTTTTGATGAAAGAAAACCCCTTTCGTCCGTTTTACTGAGTGTTTGGTCTTTAAAGACTTTTGTAACTGTCTAAGCACTTTGGCATAATACTTTCCATTGATGATGTGGCTCTTTTGAAGATTACACTATAAACCCAATGTCTCTTGCATCCCCAAAATCTGAGGTCATCTTCTTCCAAGCAAATGATACGACCTTGGCCTTCTTTGGGGCGGGTAATGAGAAGTGTTTCCACTGTAAAGTCACTGGTTCAAAGTGATGAATCCAACACTCATCCTCGGTTAGAGAACGTTCAAGGTAAACAGATGCATCTGCCTCAAAACAATGTCAGATTTTCTGTGACGTGATCAGCCTGGTACGCTTTTGATCAAGTGTCAGAAGACGTGGCACCCATCGAGCAGAAAACTTTGTCATAGCATTTTCATTGTATCACGATGTTGTGAGTACGACCAATGTTTTCCGCGGTGGTGGCATTTGCAGGACGACCAGACTTTGGGTCATCTTCAAAACTTTCCCTCCCCTTAACCAATTTTATCTACCCACATTTTCATTGTTCATAAGGCTAGAGCGTCTTCCGCTAATGAAACAGCCATGTCAGCATGAATGTACTTGGCAGCTAAACCGTTTTTCTTCAGGTACATGTTAACACCAAGGTACTACTTTTTGTCCATTTTCAAGAGAATTCGCTAGCAGTTACTTTTGAAGTCTTCTTTGAAGAGTCAGATATCAATTTACCTGGATAGAAACAATGCAGTTATAATTAGGAAGAGTTTAAATTTACGCATACAAGTTTTGTCAGCTTCTCAAATTTTCAGCCGCATCTCATATTTTAAATTTCTTGAAAAGTTGTCATAATGCTATATTTGAATGAAGTGAAAAAGAATTGATTATTAACACTAATTCGGTACCTAAGATCTGTATAGTTTGTCTATTGAAAATGCTATATTTATTCGGAAATATTTTCAGAAGAAGTCATTAAATTGATTCAGTGTCCGCTCATTTCGACTTATACCCTTTTCCTGTCATCCAGGGTGACAGACGGAACTGGAAATAGAATTTCGCAACACATATGTACATATCAGTTTAATTCAAATTGTGTTAGCACGCGTGTGCGCAAATATATATATTCGATGATATTCCTACAAAATTAGAAATAAATAAGTTCATTAAAATATTTTAATTATTTGATGAACATTAATTATAATCTAATTATCATTTTATTTATTATAATTAATATATTTAACAAATATGATACAGCATTCGATGTACGATGGTGTTATGCATTCTTTACACAAATTTTGTCACCAGTTTTCGTCTCTTTTCAATTTGAGAAGTATATGCAGTCGCGTGTAGCGCTGTCTCTCGATGGTTCGTTCAGGTTTATTAGCGGGAAAGGGCTTCAGAAAATGGCGTAATCACATGACTTCTAGTAAAATATTAACCTCGTGAAACCTAAAATTTGTGATTAGTCATTTAAACTCGAATGAGAAGTGAATGATGCTGAACATATTTTGCTGTAAAGGGTCCAAAGAGTATTTTGAGGGTGTGGAAATCACCCAACATAGTACCCTCCTAGCAACTACGGGGGTGGTAATAGGCAGAGAACAGAAAGAGACGGCAAGAAACAAAATATCAGAGCCTCGGACCCCAAAAATTTAGGAAAAAAATGCCCAAGGGACCGACTTCACAAGACACGGTGTCTTGCTGATTGCTGTTTTCCTGTTGCTTTTATTAGCATGAGGCATCTTACAAAGACTGGAGTCTTGAACAAGTGCCGAGAGGCCCGTATCTAGACATCCCAAGCTGTCTGCTGCTAACAGGGAAGAAGATGAATATAAATGGTGTCGACAGACATGTCCGCGCGCGATTCGGGGCGTCTTTTGCGTTTGTACAGACGAACGTTCGGGACATATTTTAAATAATCAATTGATGATATCAGCTGTTCTCCAATGAAGCATTAATTATTGATGGCCGTCGTTTGAATATTAAAAGAACGCCTATTATTTTTTTTTTTTTATAAGGCTTTAAAAAGTATTATTGTCCGAATTTTTTGTACTTTTTTTATTTCAAAGAACGTTGTTTTTAATAGAAATTATTTAATGTTTAATCTCACAAAGGTTCGAGAACAACTCAAGATAAAGGGGTACAATCGAGGTTAGGTGCATATACAAATCCAGTTGTAATTCTATTTCTGTGTTGAGACGGCAAGTTTTTAACATTTTACAGTTGAAATGGCTATATATAACCGTAAGTTCTATATTGACATTTTCCTCTCATCGCACTTCACGCTTGTGGAACTTTCTTCCGGGTTCAGTCAACTTTGAATTTCAAAAATGTAAATTCCATGTCAATCGTTATCTACTTCTGTATCCCCGTCATACTGTTTTTCTTTCTTATATTCTCTAACACTCAGTAACTCCTTGTGTGTTAATGGCTGCATTGCCTTGCCTTGCTTGGGTTGAAATGATTTTAAAATATATCCAAGAGATTTATGGATATGAAGAGAATTAAAATTAAAATGTCCATGACAATAATAATCGTGAAGTAAACATATATAAAAATAGACAACTTTTCCAATGCATTAGTTATACTAATTTTAACTCCAACATTGATCTTTATTATTAAAAGAGAATATAACTTTGAATAATGGTTTATGGATATGATGAGAAATAAAGTGTCCATAACGACAATAAGCGACGGTAATAAGTTTGGTATGTTTGGAAAAAAGGTGATTGACCTTTAAGTTGAAGCGGTCAAGATGTCTCGGATGTAGTACTCTATAGTTGACCTCACAAGTACTTTAAAAAAAAATGTATTGCATCACGCTTGGATGTGTAGTATGCGACTCACCTCAGATGATGGTAAAATAGACTTTGCACTAATGGACCCTAAAGAATGCCAGCTACACCGGCAAGCTGACTAGACAGATACCTCCAAGCCACCAATCGCAGGACCGCACTTCAGCAAATGACCAGAGCCGCCCACATGGAAATCTGTGGTCGACCCAGCTGCGCCTGTGATGTACACAGCGAGGGAAAATCACAGTGCATTAATTTTTGTTTTCTCTTTAAAATGTCTGACGATAATATTGCAGATGGACCATGGGCTATCGATTTGTATATGATATTCTATGCTTGTATTTCTGAATTAGTGTAGATGATCTGACTCATCGCTTTTAGTGAATCTCGCCGACAACCAGATATTTTTTCCGTTCAGGGTAGGGTAGAGAGATGGTGGAGTAGGGATGGAGAAGAGAGAGAAGTCAATGTTTTTGATATTTTTTTTCAAAGTAGGATTAACACAATCCACTGGAAACTCATTGATACATCACTCATATTAAAAGAATGTGTATTTTTTTTATTTAAATTCTTATCTAAAATACCTGTACTTCCTTATTTCAAAGAACGTTAAAACATTGATTATATACAGTGTTGTTCGATAAAATTGACTCACCTGATTTTTTTTACTAAAAATATTTTTTGTCTATGGTTTCTGGGGTTAAAATAATTTTTAATCTTACTAATATAAAAACCCCTTCCCGATCACCTAGGAAAAAAGTTTATTCACCCTAAGGTATTCAATTGATAATTATAAATTTGGATATAAATGAGATTCAGGAAAAAAAACTGTGCAAAAAAAGTGACTTAGATATCGCATTCTAATGATTAAACTGGTAAATTTAAAGAACTTTTGACAAAATATTGAAAACTATTTTACAATACACTCAGAACAATATTCTAGAGAATTCTAGAACAGCTTAAATTAAATCTAGAGTATTCCAGAATATTTCAGAAAGCCTCATACAGTATGAAAACAGTTTGAAATAGCCACTCAAGTCACTAACCAGATGAAAGGGTACAAACACGCATTAGAATTACTTAAAGCATCTATTATTGCACTCTCAAAAGCAGGCAAGTCTACGAGAGAAATGGCAGAAATTGCTATAAGTTCGCAATCAACTGTCTTTCGAGTGATTAGGGCACATAGTGATGCCACTCCTGCTCCAAGGAAGGAAACAATGGGACGAAAGAAAAGGATGATGATAGATCTGGCAGGGTAATCAAGAGAGAAGTTGCTAAGAATAGGACTATAACTAGCCAAGAAATTGCAGCCAGTCTAAGCGAAGAGAAAGGTGTTAGTCTTGCCTCTACAACAGTCCGTCGGTGGCTGTTAGAACAAGGCTACAAATCTTGTACACGAAGGTTTAAACCGCTAATAAGCAAAGCCAACAAAGCCAAGAGACTTGAATGGGCTCACTATTACAAAAATTTCACCGTAGAAGACTGGAAGAATGTTCTCTTCTCCGATGAAACAAAAGTTGAGCTAAATTCAAAGGATAAGCGATCTAAAATCTAAATAAGCTTTGAAAACTCTTTGAATTTAGCAGTAAGTACTGTCAAGCATCCGTCCCGTATAATGTTCAGGGGATGCTTTTCTTTTAATGGAACTGGTTTCTTAAAACCTATTAAAAAGACCCTCAGGAGCGAGTAGTACAATAGAATTTTAGAGTCTTGTCTGCTCCCTTCTTCTGAAAGGGTGCAAATCGACCCCACCAAGTTAATTTTTATGCAGGATAATGCTCCCTGTCACAAATCAAAATTGATGAAAGAATACTTTGATGAGAACCAGGTGAATATTATGACATGGCCGCCCCAATCTCCTGACCTCAACCCCATAGCAAACTTATGGGGCATTATAAAGTACAGGCTCTTGAGAAAGCAGTTGAGCAACAAAGAGGATTTGATTGTGAATTTCATATCCGAATGGAAATCAATGCTTGGAGATGAGATTTGCCAGAACCTAATCAAGTCAATGCCAAAAAGGGTTGAAAAGGTTATTCAAAATAAAGGAGGACCCATAGATTATTAAATATTTCGAACTATATTACATATTATAAATAATTTATACCTCTATTATTCTTTATTTAAAGCTGTTCGGTTATTGATTACTAGTTGCAGGAAATAAGTGAGTCACTATTTTCCCTAAATCTCATTTATATCCAAAATTATAATTATCAATAGAATACCTTAAGGTGAGTTAACTTTTTTACTAGGTGGTCGGGAAGGGGTCTTTATATTAGTAAGATTAAAAATTAGTTTGACCGAAAAAATTTTAAGTAAAAAAAATCAGGTGTGTCACTTTTATCGAACAGCACTCTATGTTAAAGCTCACCTAATACAAAGTACAATAGTTATTCAAAATAAGTGGTTACAAACAATAAAAAGATAATGAAAAATGTATGTGATATTTAATAGTAGCGTAGGTGGCAAGGAACGAAGGTTATGGCGATTGGAAGCAAAGATGTCGACTGGTTAAAGAAGCCAAGAAGTTTCGAATCTTTTATTTTATAGTTTTTCTTATTTCTCATAAAATAAAGAAAAAAAAAGGAAATAAAACAAACGTTAATTTTCTAAATATTTCTAACAGTAGGATAATTCTTTGGTTCAAGTTGTCACCATATTTCATCTCTTTATTTTTCTTCAAGATTAAGCGTGAAGACATAGTACTGTTTTTGGATTTGTCCTCCATCTTTATTTGCAGGTAAATGCTACAGAAAAATGACGTGCAGTCAATAAAAGTGGGGGATATGCAGTAGTAGCGACGGTAATAAGTTTATGATGTTCTCCAAAGATGAAGCGGTTATGATGTTTCGGATGTAGTATTCTATAGTTGACCTCACAAGTACTTATTTTTATAAAGAATATTGCATCTCGCTTGAATGTGTAGTATGCCTGGGAGTGAATTTCACCCGATAAAGAGTGCCGCTGATGTAGCCTACTAAATACAGGGTAACCCGGATATAAGAGAGACCGGAGTCTCTTATATCCGGGTTTGTCTTATATCCAGGTTTGGTCTATTTTATATACATTAACACAGGCTCTAATTTGGGATCAGATAAAATCTCTCTTATATCCGGGTCTCTTATATCCGGGTTACACTGTACTTATCTCATGAATTCTAGAGTTGCCAATTAGTTATATAAACTCGAATCGTGAATGAATAAAGCTCCTAACATTTGGGATGAAATTTAAATCATCAATTGATGATATCAGCATTTGTATTTATAAAGCAAATTATACCCGTCGTTTTAGGGTTAATTCCGATTCAACCAGAAAACTTCACTTCGCCCGATAACAATTTTTTATGGGTATTCGTATCTGATTCTGGGAGAAAGTAGTTTGTTTGATGGCGGTGTAGATTAGAAAAAAGAAACAGAAAAGACAGAAACATGAAAGGGGACTGGTATCTGGTGAAAACGAGAAAGGATTGCGTGGAGTTACAATATTTAATTAGGAAAAAAAAAATTTAATAATCCAACGGCGACCATTTAATGTCTGTTAGATTAACGGATCAGCAGGAGATAACATCCAGCACTGCTTCCTAAAATAAATAAATAGCTATGAAAGGCTTAAACAAGTTATTCACCTGCAGTAATTGAAATGATATGCCTTACACATTCCTATCAAATATATCTGTTAGAAAGCGCCAGTTAAAAAACAAAACATAAGTTTAAAAAAGACAAGAAAAGGTGATTAGATCAGAAAATTGGTGTCCTCTTACGATAATTTTATTATCTATAGAAACGCTGCCGATGCAAATTTATTGTATTTTTTTTTTCCTTTTATTGCTTGGAAGTTATATAGGGGAGGGAGGACAGGTATTCTTTCATAAAAGCAAGACAAAGTAGCTGAAGTCTTAACTTTGATGTTTGTAGGTAAGTCGGAGAAAAGGGTGGGAGGTGGAAATTGATTGTTTTCGTTTCAAAGTAAACTTCTTTGATAACAAATCGAATCAAACATAAGACGATAATCTGTTATTTATTGTTTGATCAGAAATTAGACAAAGTCGAATAGATTTCCAGGAAGATTTTGGAGTCGCAGAAACAAATATTTCTGGAATTGAACGTGGAAATCAAAAATTGTAAAGATTGCGTACAAATACGAAAAAATATCGCTTTCAGGCGTTTCAATAGAAATAAGAGAAGACAAAGGAAGAAAAGAATGAATAAACGGAAGGAAGGAAGGAAGAAAAGAAGGGAGGAAAAGAAAGAAGAAAGAAAATAGAGAAGGAACGAACAAAAAATCGGAAGGAAGAAAAGAAGGGACAAAAAGAAGGAAAAGGGAAAAAAGAAGGAATGAATGAATGAAGGAAGGAAGGAAGGAAGGAAGGGAGGGAGGGACAAAAAGAAGGAAAGAACAAAGGAAAGATAGGAAGGAAGGAAGGAAGGAAGGAAAAGAAGGAAGAAAAGGAAAAAGAGAAAGAAAGAACAAAGGAAAAATTTGGAGGAACGAAGAAAAGAAGGGACGAAAAGAAGGAAGAAAGGAAAAAAAGGGAAGGAACGAAAGAAAAACCGGAAAAAAGGAAGAAAAGAAATGATGAAAAGAAGGAAAAAAAAAAGGAAAAAACAAAGAAAAGGAAGGAAGGAAGGAAGGAAAAAAGAGAAAGAAAAAAGAGACAAAAAGAAGGAAGAATGGAAAAAAGAGAAGGAACGAACAAAGGAAAAATCAGAAGAAAGGAAGAAAGGAAAAATCGGAAGGAACGAAGACACAGAAAGAAGGAAGGAAGGAAGGAAGGAAGGAAGGAAGGAAGGAAACCAAAAAGTAAAGGAAAGAAAAGAAGGAACGACTAAGAGGAAGGAACGGAGAAAAGAAGAAAGGAACGAAGAAAAGAAGAGACGAAGAAAAGAAGGAAGATTAAAAAAAAAGAAAGAAAGGAATGCAGACAGGTTATTACTAAAACAACGAAGAAAGGACACAGCAGAAAAAAACAAAAAAGAAAGGAACAGAATGAACGAAAAAAGTAAGAAACGCCATGGACAAAAGAAGGAACAGAATTAATGTAGAAAAGGAGGCACTGAAGAAACAAGGAATAAAATGAAGGATCGAATAAAGGAACGAAATGGAATGAAAAAAGAAAGAAAGGAACGGAATGAACGAAGAAAGTAAGGAACGAAGAAAGGAAGGAACGAAGAAAGAAATGAACGAAGAAAAGGACGTATTTAAGAAACAGAATGGATGGTGGAAGCAGAAGAAAGGAAGGTACGGAAGGAAAGGAAGAAAGGGAAGAGACAAGGAAAACAAGGAAAGAATTAAAAAAAAGAAAGAAATTAAGGAAAAGTGAAAAAAGGAGGAATAAATAAAGGCATGAAGAAGGAAAGAAATTGGACACATGAATAAACGTTAGGAAAATAAAGGAAAAAGCGAAAAGAACAGAATGATAGGAACGAATGATAGGAACGAAGAAAGAAAGAGAACGAACGAATAAAAGAAAGAATAGAATGGACAAAAAAAAAGAAAATAATGAACAAAAAAAGGAAGGAATTAAAAAAAAGAGACACTGAAGAAACGAAGAAAGGAACGTATGGAAGGAACGAAGAAAGGAAAGAAAGACAGATACAAGGAAAGGTAGTAAAAAGAGAAAGAAATGGAGAAAAAGGAAAGAAAAAAAGAAAGTAACGGAAGGAAAAAAGAAAAGGAGGAACGGAAAGAACAATAACAAAACGAACGATAGAAACGACAAAAAAAAAAAAAAAAAAACGGAAAGAACAAAGAAGTGAAGGAAGGGAGCAAGGAAAAAAACGGAAACACGGGAAGACAGGAAAGGAAAGGAAGAGAAAATTAAAAGAAGGAAAAAACAAAACAAAAAACGATGGAACGGAATGACCAAAGAAAGGAAGAAATCGAATAAATGAAGGAAGAGGAGAAAAAGTATGGAACGAAAAATGAAAGAAAATAAGAACAAAGACGTTTCGCCTTATTTTTTAAAAAATAATACAGTTGACAACTACATCTAGCTATCATTATCAGAAGTTCATTTGAAGACAAGTGGAGAAAATTACACACCAGAGTGTATGTGTGTGTGTTTATACATTCTATCTTAACATATTGATATCATTCCATAGAAATAAGTAAAAAGACAATATGAATAAAAGAAAAGGAAAACTTTTCTTTACCTACCCGTTTCGTACCCTTAAGGACTTTATCAAGGTAAATGGGAAAATATTTATTTTGTAAACTTGTATTTATACACAAGAAGAAAAGTGAAGGAAACTATTAAGTTTACAAATTTTAAATTTGAGAATGCTCGAAAATATCTTTGCTCTGTAAGGAAAGATAAACTATGGTGGTCGGTAAGTGATATAATTTATTGATTAATAAACAAAAAAAAAGTTATTGCAGAATAATAATTTATTTTAATTTATTTTTAATATAATTTTTATTTATATTTTATTAAGTTATTAATGATTTATGTATTAAAAGCGCTAAAACATTTAGAAGATCTACTATTGTTGCGAAATATACATTAAGTATAAGCATTTTCAGCAACACCTGTATTTTATAAATAGATATCCAATCAGCGTCCTGAGTAAGAAAATAAACTACCCCCTCTTCATGGGTAAGACGGTAAACTACATCTGCGTCCTGGGTAAGACGATAAACTACGTCCGCGTCCTGGGTAAGACGATAAATTACATCCAAAAGCAAGTCCTCTGATCAGAAGGTTTTGAGGAACGTGGAACCACCTCTTAATTGTTAGTCTTCCCAAGTCCACCCTTACTCTAAGGGGTAGCAACTGTTAGGATCTGAGCTATGGCCAAAGAGCTAACCCCAAACTAGGGCCAAAGCACTGTAAAAGTGTAAAAATAACTTTTAATGCCAGCAATGAATTTTTAAGGGAAAAATATTACCAGCAATACATTTTTGTAAATAATTATTACCAGTCATACATTATTACCAAAAGCATATATTACCAGCAATGCATTTTAGAAGAAAAAATATATTACCAGCAGAAAAAAAAATATTACCAGCAATAAAAATCTTGTCGGCATTAGATAACCCACTGAAGTTGACGTAAAACAAACTAAACCAAACCAAACAATGTCCAATCATTATGAGATATGAGAATATCATGAAAATTATTCAATAAGTTATGATGACGTAATGATGAGAAATAATTAATGAAGAGTAGCATTGATTCTATAGCAATAATAAAAGCATGGACGAATATACATATAACCACAATCTATCTTACATATTTATAAGTCTATCATATATATTGTGTATATTTATTTTTAAACCGATCATTTCCAGTTGTCTAATCAATTCCTTGATGTTAAGATGAAATTCGTTAAGTAAGACACCGTAAATTTTTTACACCCAAGTACTTCCGAGCTATTCTAAGATCATCGTGATGGGTAAATTACAAAAAAAAAATACTTATTGTAACTGCGTTTAAAATATGCATTCGTTATGATAGTAATTTTTAAAAATAAAAACCAATGATTTCCTTTTTTTTTTTTTCTTTTTTTTTTTTTTTTGCAAAACAAGCTGACCGGAAATTGGTAGAAATGTTAAATGGTATTAAATGTTATATCCATTTAAAAGTGTAGGTGTTTTATTCGTAAAAAAATGTTGGATATTTGCTAGGTAATTTTGATATAGAAGGCCTCAAGAATTTCAAGTTTTGTTTCATTATTTTCATGATGCAGTCTATTGGTGTATACAGGATGCGGCAAAGTTCTCTAACAGATTGGTAGGTTTAACTTTCGTGAACGCATTTGCGAGTGGGTAGAAAGTAACGGCACTCACTTGACTGATTTAATTATTAAATTTCGCTTTTATTAAACCTACAAATGTGTCATAACATTTTGCTGAACCCTAAATATATATACAAATACTACATATTGTTGACATATTTATTCTACAAATACTTTCATGGAAATTGCTCCGAGGAGCTGCATTCGCTGGTTCCCAGACTTCATGAGTTCAAGCGCCCTACGAGGCTGGCATCCCGCTCTCACCCCTTCACTGTCGAAACTCCTAAATGTAACCGTCTCTTCTACTCTAATAGCTTCATGTCTCGCACCTCTCGCCTGTGGAACTCTCTTCCCTTCTCCTGTTTCCCTGGGAGTTATAATCTCCAGCTATTCAAGTGTAATGTCAATCGACATCTCCAGTTGCCTTAATCTATCTACTACCCTCATCCTTTCTTCTATCACTCCTATCTGATCTTCCTATTTTCTGTAACCCCTTGCGTCCTAGTGGCTTCCCGCCTTGCTTGGGGGGAAATATATATATATATATATATATATATATATATATATATATAAATATATTTTAATGGGTTGAGCAGACTCCATTTTTTTAAACGGTGGCGTATTTTCTCTATTAATATCGTTGAATGCAAAGCAAGTAGATACGAATAGAGACGTCTACTCAAGCATGTTTACCCTCTAAATGATAATGTAACGTTTCAAAATGATACTATATATATATATGTGTGTGTGTGTGTGTGTGTGTGTGTGTGTGTGTAGATACATATATAGATATATAGCTTAGGTACCTTCACGAGATCGCTAAAAAAAGAGCACAGCATGATGAAAAAGACGCCAAACTTGACGAAAACAAGATTTTATCGTCTAAATCTTTATGTTATTATTAAGAGGAAAGATCAAAGTATTTTGCCGGATATTTTTTACATTTTTAATCGTTCCTAGCACCTCCGAAAGTTTTGTTAAAATCTTGTTTTTTTGTGTGTCATCAAAACTGACCATTTTTTACATTTTATAAAAAAAACTGGAAATCTCACTTTGAACTTCTTTTAAATATCAATTAACATTTTTTCAAAACTTATTTTAAGAAAATCAAAAATTATAATGTTTATTTAAAATATTTTGAACGAAGCTTAACTTAGTTTCTGCGCTGAAAAGATGTAATTTGAAAATAAACAAAGCAGGTAATAAAATTTCGCGTCACTTGATAGGTGATGAATGACATATTGACGGATTCCGTGAGGATAATTTGTTCTACGGAAGGAGGAAAGTAAAATTATTTACATTTAAGTGAACAAATTATTTACCTCGTTATTTTTAAGGAAAACTTTCATCCCTCTATTTTTTTGTACTTAGCTTTCACCTCTACGTGCTTTGTGAAAAATATATTATAAAGAAATTAAAATAAGACTGTTAAGAGTGAGATTAAATTTCATATTTCATAAGAAAGGTATCTAATTAATTTATAGGTACCTTTCTTATGAAATTTTATCAGAAGTGTACGTAAAATATTATAATTTTATCAGCATTTATTACATTTTACTGTGTTATTTGTATTTCCATTCATTTTATTATTAATTTTGATATTTCATTTATGGAAAAATGTCATATCTGAGATTAATATAAAAGTAAGATCATATAAATTTCATAAGATGATACTGATACTTGTAGTTACCCTTCTCAGTTGACATTGAAAAATCAAATTAACTTCTTCACACGTGTTTTGCAAAAGTAAAGACCTTAACAGCAGAGAACAAGGCTTAACTCAAATAACGCAACTTAATTGTATTCTAGTTGGTCTTCCGTACTTTATAATTACGCTCGATTATAAACACATTTCTTAATTACTGTGGATCTTCTGATTAGTCAATTTACAACGCACTAAAAAAAGGAGACTTAGGAAACCCGATGCGGCTTTTAACTAATTTTATATTTTAACAACTTAAATTTAAACATCTATTATAATTAAGAAATAACAAATAATTGTATTAAAAATTCATTTTTCATCGAAAAAAATTTTTGCTTTCAGGAAATATTGTCCATATTCATAAAAACAACTAAAAGCAAATAAAAGCATTTGAAATTGAATAATATCTTTGTTTTATTGAGTTTTGTATGTTACAATTCACAGCTGATTCTCAGGTAGTGGGGGGTCCAATTTAAAAAAAACAAACAAACATG